TGAAGACCAATGTACATGACGACGACGACCATCCAGACTGCCAGCATACACCAGGTGCGTATCTCTCTCCTCTCACCTCACTCCTCGACTCCCTGCAGTGTGCATCCTCGACACCCGAAGACCACCACCGCCGATCACCCACTCTGCGCCTAGCAGCTCCGCTATGGCCGCCTGGCGCCTGCTGCAGCAGCCGCGCCCCTCACCTCTCAGCGCCCATGCGCCCCCTGGTCAGCGCTAGCGCACCATTGCCTCGCCCAGCAACGCAGCAGCGTGGCCGCATTGCCTGCCTGGCCAGAATCCCCTCCCCTCCCTTCTGGGCGCTCACTTTCCTTTACGGAAAGTGAGCCCTGCCATTGGTCCTCGGTGGGTGTTACATCTTCGATTCACACGGGTCCTACCGGACCCGACTTAGGGCCGGAGGGACACACCAGGGCCTAAAGGCCCGACCTTTTTGGAGTTACAGGCCCTAAAGGCCTGATTTTGGACCAGCACCATCGGGTAGGCCCAAACGACACTTCGTTTGGGCCTGGCGGCGCTCTTGAAGCTGCCGCCCGCCGATTGAGGCTGAACCGTCCATCTGGACGGTCCAGGGTCTGGCCTGGCCTCGCAGCATTGAGGCCAGACCATGGCCTACCGGTATAAGTACCGGTACCTGCCTCAATTGAGGCATCGACCTACCGGCATTGTACCGGTACGGTATGGTCAGCACCAGAGCGCTGTTTTGATGCGCTAAACTTAGCACAGGGGCTGAAGCAGGAGCGCAGCATAGCGCAGCTTAGCGCAGCAGCGAGCGGAGCAGCAGCGGGCGACTGAGTCACACGGCGGTTCTCACCGCCTGAGGTACCGGGAGCTTGGAGGGTCTCTCCTCCTCTCCCTCGCCAGTCCCCTCTCTCTCTCTCTCCTCTTTTTCCTCCTTCTTCTTCTTCTTCTTCTTCTTCTTCTTCTTCTTCTTCTTCAGATTGGAGACTATCCAGTTGGACAGAGATCAGAGTTGGACTTCGGTGATACGAGACTGTGGTACTTACCTAATTGGAGACTTGGAGATTGTTGAGGTTGATACTCGGCTGCATCACAGTTGGACACCGGTTACATCTGGACTCGGTTATCTCCGACATTGGTGACCTTTGGTCCTCGACATTTTAATCTTGTTGGATGACATTTTGGACTACCATATCGGTGACCTATCCGACTCTATTTTGTGACCTATCGGTGTGATCTACCTCCTCCCTCCTTCGTCTCTCCTCCCACCTTCATCTGTGTATGTGTGTACAGGATCTGGGTATCTTCTATGCATGACCCAGACCCCACCATCTCATGACTGTATGTGTGTGGAGTGATGCCATGTAGGTCGGTCTATGTGAGTCAGTCTATGTGAGTCAGTCTATGTGAGTCAGTCTATGTGAGTCAGTCTATGTGAGTCAGTCTATGTGAGTCAGTCTATGTGAGTCAGTTCGTTATCAGACTTCCGCTGCATAAATGCTTATCCTATATTGGTTGATCTTTGGTTCTGCCCATACTCATTGAAGTATGTAACAGTTTTGGTATCGGAGCAGACCAAAACGGATCTGCTCACCAGGTAAGACCGTTTAGAATTAGGTTATCACGTTTGATCTTCTAAATCGGCGCTGAAGTATTATCAAGTTCAAAGTTGCAAAATTTCTTCTTTCTCGGTATTCTGTAATTAGGCATTACCGCTACTTTTTTCTTTTTGTATTT